ACAGAACTCTGATTCACAGGTGCAAGAGACTAACACAAGGGTAGAGAAAATGGTAAGATGATCATTGTGGAAGTGACCAAATATGACCTACAATGGGGTCATGGTAGGTCGTAATCAGAAGTCAATTGCCTGTTTATAGACCTTTTGGCCGTATGAACATATGTTGCCCAGGATGCACCACGTGAAGGTAAGTCTATCGTGCTCCCCATAATTAGCCATAATCTTACTACTAATTCATACCTCTTGGCAAATAACCAAGTGGAATTTTGGAGAAGTTAATAATTTTTAAAAAATAACTTCTACTTAAAGTTAAAAGTAGAATAGAACTCGTTAGAAAATTTGTGAGTTTAGATACCACTCAGCCAACCAAAACTCCTAAGTAGATGTATTGTATTTAAACGATGAAGCTTCGTAGAAGTGTCACACAACCAGAATGAACTCTATTCGCTTATTGGATATTGTTGGAGCACCTTAGCTAATTTGAGAAGCGATTTTCTACAGTGATTATTGTGGTTTAGTCAAGTTTCAGTTGTGCAGCAATCACTACAGTCTGTTTGGTATAATGAAATTAAAGAAACAATTTGACAAGTTCCTTACTTTCATAATTAATTACTTACAAATCTGTCGGACTTTTTAAAGTTCACTAAAATTGTGAATCGCTTCCGGACATTCGATTGAAGTAAATTGTGAAAATTTTTCCTAATTCCGCATTACTACCAAATTTGGGGTTATTTATGCTCAGTAAACGAAATCGCAAATGTTACAAAAATAAATGTGTCTTTTATCCTTGTAAAGAATATCATCTGACTATTAATCTACCAGGGTCAGCTAAACTGGCCAATATTTCAATGATACATTGCTTTGAAGCTTCCCGAGTTGTGATCATTAAATTCTTGAAAATTATGAATGTTAAGTCTGCTGAAAAAACACCGAAAAGCTGTGGAATCAACACGATTACGATGTTCTACGTCGGTTGACCACTTACGATATGATAACCACCGCAATCCCCACTTTCTTGATAGTCCGTGTGGAGTTAACTGATACCTGTATCTCACTGTTTTATCGATAATATTCTTCTGAGTAAATTAAACAACAAGCCTTCTAATGAACTTGAATCTCTCAATTTGAACTGACTGCAAGAAAGTGTATCGATTAACGGGTACTATCCTTCATATAGGCATAATGCTGGAAAAGCTTTAGTATAACATGGAGATTGATCTCGGTGATGCTGAGAGGATATAACGTGAATCGTATCTGTAATATTCTGATCTTATTTACTGCCTTAGATTGGTCAAATATTTTGACGTCGTTTATCTATCACTTTGCAGAGATATGAGTCCTCGAGGTAATTCCATTGCCGAGTAATTTGAGCATCACTACGATGTTCCTTTCCATAACAAAACTGCTTATTCTGCTACTGTCGGATAGTCGATATAGACGTACTCATGAGATGTTACTACGCTCAAAATTTCGTCTTAATGGGAGTAAATTAATTTGAAGAGCTACTTCTAGCTAAAGACAATTAATAGAACACAACCCCGAGCCTGACGTCAGAAGAAACAATTTAATTTTGACAATGACTATGTTTATCTACAATCCATTTTCTTCACATTTAAATACATTCCATAATTCATTTTGCCTATTACGATGGATTTATGCATAATAATATAATGTTTTATTCCAGTATTCATCTTGTAGCTATACATTTAGTTTAATTAGCCAAAATAAATTTTAAAAATTATCCCCACATAGTAACTGCAATAGTTCTGTAAATTGTACAGGCTTGCTATGTTTGTATTCTGGTATCACCAGATATTCCGTATTTTATTGGGGATATAGCTAAATGTGTAACTTACTAAGAATACAAGATTCAAATGTAAGACGTCTACCTCCAGATTTTTGAGTAATTTCATACTTGTCCAAGATGGTTAATTGGAATACATGCAGTTGACAATTATAATGGGTAAGAGCAGCTAACTTAAACGCACAACCAGCCCCAGATCACTCAAAGCTGATTGGGTGATAGTAAATGGCGTCAAATTGTCATTGTTGCGGGATGTTTAAGGTGGAATTGTGATTTTATTGACATTCAGCAATATTAGGCTTTGAACACGACCTACTGCGGATTCCGTAAACCGCATGTCTATGTATGAGCTAGGTTATTACATAGTAAGATCTACTATGGACATTTAATGTCACATAACCAAAACCTGAATTGAAAATATATTGCAAAGATAATTGCAATTCAAAGATCTGTACGTCAATGAAGGAAAGGTAAGTGGTGTATTCAAAGAAAAAACTTACGAACCAAAACGTGATTGCAAATTTTTGCAACTCCAATAAAGGGAAATGATGATAATAAACATTTTTTCAAAGGCCTAGTAACTAACATAAATGTCGGTGTGTTAAATGGTGCAATTTTGAAACCCGTCGGCTCAAATCAGTCGAATAAAATGGCTTAACACAATGGCCAACAAAATTTTTCCATAAAACAGCAGAAGAATAAAACTCAACCAAACAAACATAGCTTCGACAGCAAGTTTTTGTTTTCAATTTCTGACTACCATGCTTAGATAAACGGCGATTGATAAGTCCACATTATAGAACTAAAAGGTAATTGATTCTGAGAATAATGTTGTTTATAATACGAGCATGTTGAAGTCATTAAAAGCTATTGGGAACAATCATCCAAAAACACAAGCTGAAAAAATTAGCAATTGGGAATAGTGAGACTTATAGGTATAACAATTGGAACACAACAAGAAAGATGACGAATGAAAAAAACTAGGACTTTGATATTGACTATACAATAAAAATCATGTACAATATTATACTCAGTTATTCGAAAAATAATCAACCCTTTTGCCCTTCACCCACTTCTTCTTGCCTCTCAAAGCCCGAAGTCGATCCATTTCATCACGGAAATCAGCATGTTCGTCTCGATAAAGACCAATCCTGCGGAGAGTTGCTAATATTTCCGAGTATTCTTCAAGGGGAGGATACCAATCACGAATTTTTACGGCCTCTGGCTGTTCGCTCATTATTCGGACAACTTTTGGTGGTGGGTATGAAGATGTAGTGTCTGCGAAAATTCGACTGGCAAGGAGTGCTATTCGCTGCGAATAAACCGTAGCTTTTGATGTCATGCTAAAAGGGAAAATACACCTTAGCATATGCAAAATAAATCAAATAAAATTGTCACATGCTTAATTTAAGCCAGCACCGACCTTATTTGTTGGACCAAGACTATTTAAGGTGCTGGTGGTGTATAAGCTAATTAAAAACAGTTTACGATTGGAACTTTTATCCTTGTGCTTATAGCAGATAAGTATATAAATATTAAATAACCTTAGTTAATAATTTTTTTCAAATCACAATAAACTCTCTTTGTGAATTATTTACCTTACTTTATATTTAGTGTTTAGTTTTGAAACGAAAGTAATTTTGAAGCTTTCTTCAGGATTATTTTTTCACTACGAAAAATTTAAAATTCTTGATTATGACATTTATCCCGATACAATTTTATAACTTACCTCACTTTCATTTAATTCAATTCTACCAGAGCCCAGTCATTGAATGACGAATATTCTGATTGTGAATAAATGTAAAATTACTTTTAGAGATAAGGTTTTATCTGATTAACTACAAAAAATATGAAAAGCTCAATATTTCTCTAGTTCAATTCCTTGAACGGGACAATTTTTTCGATGAATCATTTAAGGACTGATGAGTTGATAGTAATTAAGTCCAATAGTTTATAAATCGGAAACCCAGAATCGAGGTTTTAGCTCTCAAAAAGTCAAAGTCCATTTACTTAAGCCACAATAAGAAATCAACAATTATCTTATTTTCTAGATTTGTTACTGAATCCGCTCGATAATCTATTATTCATGATGCGAAATCCCACATTTTAGTCAATATTCAGAATCGTTCAGTGTACTTTTACACCCATTTCGAAAACGTTACTCAATTAACTGTCACCTTTAAATGGCTAAGTACCAAGTATTTCTTTCTGCTCTGTCTGAAATTATGTCATATTTTATAAAATGATAAAATTTTTTATTGATTTCTATAAGCCTGAATTATTTCTCAGAATTGGTAACTTAATATACCTTTCTTATCTATAATGTCAAAAAGTCTTTCAAATATTTCAATTAAATGTGTTTTAACATTGAAGAAGAATGATGTAGGAATAGCTACGCAAACTTACTCCATGAAGGTAGAATTAATTCCATAAATCAATTACATTGCTAGTATATTGGCCTTAGTAGTTTTTAAAAGGTTTTCATCTCGTTCATTTAATCGTCAAAGCTATCGAATTATATTCCTCTGCATATTCAACATGGTCACGCAGTAATCAACTTATACTAAGGAAACTTGAACAAATTAAGTAAAGAGAATACTTAGTAGTCCGTCTTCATTGCCTTAGAGTTTCTCGAGAAATCCATTTAAATTTATCGGATCGATTGATGAACGGCCTACTGATTTACATGAAGATTTACTAGCATTGTGACATCACAATTCACCGTCTCAATACAAAATACATTGTATTTGTTAATGTATACATATAAAATTGCTCAGTCTGACATAAATAGTTGGTTTCACTACTTTCAACTCAATTCCTGCAGAGCACAGTAGTTGGCATAAGGAAAGCTTTTAACTCAGCAATTGAAATTCGTGACAGGTGCGTCATTATCCTCGAAAAGACTTAAATTAAGCAGTTGAAAATCATGCAATATGGAATAGTTAAGCTTATAATACAAGGATATAATTAAAAATATTACAGCATCACTATATTTGAAAGGAATATAGACAAATTAGTCATACAAAAATCTGTTCAACGTCCACTTTCGAGGGTTTCGAGTTGGCCGAACCCATGGTAACTACAAATTTAAATAAACCAGATGGATGCACTCCTTCTTCATCAAGGCGTCCTTTAGTAGTCACAATACGACATAGCCACTCGTATTTCATCGGTGAACCTGGAATTTTGGCCATATATCGAGGTGCTTCCATTGTAGTGTGATCTCGGGGAGACCTGAAATATCCTTCCTCAAAAGCTTTGTCCAGGGCAGCATCTCTTAATTGGTTCATCTGAGGATCGCTGCATTCTGATTCTGTTAGTTCAATTTTGCCATCATTTTCCCCCATTGTAACCACACAAGGCCGCTCTATACTATTAGAAAAATGGCAAAGGTAGACAAAAATTAGCGCTTAACTGAGCGCTGAGCTGATTGGCAGATGTTTATATAGCACTGGCAGCAAGGAACCAATCATGAAAGGCGGCAATATTTTTATTATGAATCTTGTGCTTTCAAGGCCATTTTCTGCAAGTGACTTCATTTCCTTGAGTGCCTATACGCGATAGGCGTCAAATTTAACTGTACATTAATTTCAAGTGACACCTATTACTTTGAGTTTCAGGAAATTTTTGAGAATTGGAAAGGAAAATAAGATTTGCTGTGCTGCAGAGTAACATTGTGTTCAATTTATTCTTTTTTTCAATTTTACATAGTAGCTATTCATCACCCCGATTTTAGATTGGGTTAAGAGAATTATGAATTAAGAATTCATGCTATTTCTACATAATACGTTTGAGTTCGTAACACTATTTTACCTACAGCTGCTTTCACAATAAACTCTCAAGAAAGCTGAGGGGGATTATATAGTTGCTAAGGCCTTCTTCAGGTTATGCTCACCATTTTCTCACCATTTTCACCACATTACAATTAGGAGAAAGGAACAAGAAAACGTTGAGTAGAGTTTATTGATTCAGACATCAGGTGCTGTGAATTAGTGATAAGTTACAGAGAGAGTATTTATAGAGCGATCAGAAGCGGTAGCATGAAGAAATGGAAGGTTTCAAATCATCTTTGAAATGAGCTGGTTCAAAGAATGTGAGAAAGTGCCAATTTCATTTTCATTCATTCGTGGCTTCTTGTTTGGGGAAAACTGAGATTCTCAGCATTCAAAAAGCCTAAGTTGTGTAGCTTTATGACTGCTGTTTGTATTTCGTTAACCTATTTCCATGAAAAATAATGTTAGCGGTTGAATGATTCGTTTATAAATTAAAACCTATAGGCTCTCATGTCGCAAAATCGTCTTAAGTCAATATTGTGCACTTGGTTTTGAGTTGTTAATATCATTTTTACACTATATGTCTTTAGATTTATATTTTGATGAATGTACTGGCAAGCTTTAAATCAGGAATTTCGACTTTTAAAGGACAACACACGAAGTAGGCTGTGGTAGAAATCGAAAGTTGGTAGATATTGGTTGGACTCGGTTATTGACGATTTAAGGACTATTATCAAAGGAGCTATAGGGTGGATTTTGGAATCGGCATCTGTATCTCACTGGGTTGTGGTTGTATACTTTGGAGAGAAGAGTAATTTGCTAAAAAGTGTGGATGCATAGCACAATAAAGACCGAACAAAGGGAATTCGCGCGCTAGCCTATTGCATATCGAGTGGCATGGACCCGGGTCCAGTGCCCTACAAGCCAATCAGCAATCAATATACCCTTAACATAGATTTGATAGCGCTCACATTATTAAGCGTTTTCATTAAACTCTCCACAAGGTGACTAAAGTGATCTCACTACTTTCGAAGGTGTATGGAAATCCTTAGATGAGATTGCACCAACGGGCTCCATTGGGGGCTCTTTGTATTTGTCTGAAGCTTAGTTAAACTTCCAAGAGTACAAAACTAAAGAACTAAAAAAAATTTTTTTACTAATTAACCTAGAAGCCCATACAGTAAGAAAAAAAATATAGGTTAGATGCTCTGGCCACGTTAACAAAACAAAAGAAAGTATAGAGTGAATCTGTCAACAAAAACGGGAATTACTTAGTTGCCCACCCAATACCAAAGGCTTATCTGTGAAGTATGCACCAGACCAGTAAAACAAAATTAACCTTGAAAAAATGGGTAAAAATTTACATACTGGCAAGCAAATAATGGGAGAATTCAGGCCGTAAGTTATCTAAGGGTTATATAGTAATTATGAAGTAGATGGACCTTTCTAAACGGATTCAATTAAAAAAATGTTCGGACTACAATTGTTTACTGCCGCTGGAATGTTCGAAGGGAAATGGATAGAACTTATTAATGAATGCTGAGCAGTGCAGCATTATCCACTTTCGCCTTCAAACTAAACATTAGTTGAAAATAGAGAATGCAGAATATTTGTTAAAACAACAGACCAAGCTGAAGTGTTAACAAGATTTACTAAAATTCCATGGACATATTGCAGCAAGCGCTTAATGCTTTCTCTTCGTAGTATGAGTGCTGACAGCAATGGCCACGGAATTGATGATCTTTTGCCTTTTCTTATACTCAATATGTCTTCCTGTCTCAGTAATGGCTTTGAAGGTCGGGTATATTTCGTACTTGTTCGTGCCTGCAGGCGTGTTTGCATGACGCACTGGCAACCAAACTCTCATTCATGCTGATATCTCCTGGAATCGTCAGTCTAACTTATGCTCAGACAAAGGAACATCTGCTCCCTTTCAGCTTTCCCGCCGTCTTCTCTCTCATGCCCACCATCTTGTCATCACGACGAAGAAGAGTAAAAGATAAAAGACGTGGCTAAATTGAGCCAAATACCGTAACTGCAAGTCATTCTTCTAACAGTTCACTGACTCAACTTTCCTTCAAATGCCCATTTAATTGTGACCTGAGTGCCAAAGACAAAAAAACGTTTGAGACTTAAGAAGTATGAATTGTCAAGCCACTGGTCAACGATTGAGCGCAATAAAACAAATGAAAGAGTATTTAGAAGTTTCGGAATTCAGCGTTAAACCACCACAAAATTCAAATGTCACCAAAGCTTCAGTTCCTGAATTAAGTTGAACCAAAAGCGGTTCAGATAAGTCGAAATTGTTGATTTTCAAATGCTGAAAATCCTGAAAGCTCGTTAACCTCCCCAACTATTGAGAGTAAGATGAATTCAAGTTAGTTGGCCTATTAACAAAGGCAAATAAACACCCACTATCGGACAAATATTATGCAATCTAATGGACTGAACGTCAAATTCTACTTTGGAACGTAATCTACCTACCAAAATAAAGCGAAAATGGCAATTTACTTTTATTGTAACTTTGGTTCCCCTCAACCCCTCTCATTTATTATTACTACCGTCAACCAATTTCAGCAACTAACGGGATTTGGAAATTGTAAAATTATTTTGTGCCATATAACCCGAAGGAACAAAATCCGATAAGAATAAAAGGCTGCTTTAAATGTCATTCAATATATATATATATATATATATATATATATATTCATTATTTTTACAAATTGCTTTACAAGCACATCTTGTATACACATACACAACTCAGCGACGTCGCGACTTTTGCTCAAGTCTCTTCTCTACAATTTAAAAGAGGATAAATAAAGCTTGAACACAAACACAGATCAATTAAAAGTTAAAAAACCCACCTAAAGCCTTTTCCGTGAGGTAATTATAAGCAGGATGCTTCTTGGAAATCTTCTTAACCTTTCTCTTCTTCTTCTTGGGCTTCGGCACAGTTGACTCAGACTTCTCTCCCTCAACACCCTCTACTTCCTCCTCACCTTCTTCAGCGTCACTCAACTTATTAATTTTCTTTTTCTCCTCTTTTTCTTTTTCATCAGCAAATTTGACAGACTTCTTCGTTTTTCCGACTGCTTCTCCTCCAGATCTGGCTGCCTCCTTCTCTTTGCGACGTCGTTCATGTTCAGCTCGGCGTTGAGCTCTCAGGGCTTCCTTGGCTTTGAACTCGGCTTCTTGTTGAGCCACCTCTTGGGGCGTTCGTTTTTGCAAACTGTGGTATAGTACTGTTCCTGAATTCACCCCTTCCTCAATCTGAAGGACGAAAATGAGGTTTAGGCTACCTTATCTGATTAAGTGGGGCAGGGTTCTTTGATTATTACCAAAAAATTAATAATATCGCTAACTCGGGCACCAGATAAAAAAGAGGTTTTCTTCTTCAGAGAACATTCAATCGCTTAAATAAGCAGTAAGCTACAGACTCAAAACGAGTACACTCCGTAAACGGTATAAAGATGTTTGTTCTCAAGTGACCGGAAAATTTAATTTGGTTTTTGAACAAATATGAGCCATGAGATGGTAAAGCGAACACACATGTACCCAGACAGACAACATTGTAAACAAAACCTTAGCAGACGACACAATAGCTTATTCGGTGTTTTATCAACATTACTGAGATATTCGATAAAGCGAATTAAAGTCTTGAAAATTCTACTGCATATTTTTCGTCGATTTATCTACATTTTAGTGGCTACAAACGTCGACATTGTAGGTATTAAAGCATGTTTTATACCAATTTGTCCCACAACACCTTCCGGTTTTAAAAGGACATACCACACCATCAAAAATGTTCAAATTTAAGGTAGATAAGCCAATTCAATATGCTTGAAAAGTCTGTATTTGGAAACTGTGAAACAAGCTCCAACCAAACTCAACGACTTAATACAACTCTAGAGGAGATTGTAAGGAGTATGCAATAAAGATAGATGATTTGTATTTCTAAAAAGAACAGCCAGTACATTTCAAATGTCGTCAGCAAGTCCCAAAACTACACTTATTTATAGATGACACATCGAATTTCATAAATCATCAGACCCTCTGTCTCATCTCATGATTCAATAAGGGTGGAATAGAAGGCATGTAACATTCTGCTTCTCCCTTACGCAAGGCCATACAATGTTCAAGAGATTCAAAAGCATTTACCTTATAAAGTTGGAATGTAAGCCTCGGACCAATCTCCGTAAGACGGACACAGGCTTTGCGACATCCACTCAAATGAGAAAATCCGTGGGTTGCTTTAGCTTGAGCCTTCGCCTCTTTAATGTCCTTCGATTTTGGAAGTTGGGAGGACTTCTTTAATCCCTCTTCTTCACCAGCACCTTCTATTTGTTGGCCAACGTCCTCAATGTCCATCGGCTGTCCTGGCAATGGCACCTCTGCCATGTCTTCCAATTCTGAAGCTGCGGAGTCCGTAAGTAGACTGGCTCTAAATTGAAATTCAAGAGATTATACTTTCAAGTACCGGTAAAATTGAGCTTTCCCATTATTGTTCCCGAATTTTAACAATGTGTTGCCTAGCAATATAAGCGTCATTCATTTATATTTGCGATAAACTTTTGAATTAATATAGCCTCTTTTTTATATGATTGGTAAACGTTGCCCTAAGTGAAAGACTTAGAACATGTGTTCACTATTCCCCATTTGTTTAGGCAGTTTGTTAAAATTAAGGTAAACTAACCCTACAACTCATTCATAAGACCATTAATTGGATCTATGAATATACGATTATTGCTTAACACATTTTTACTGACACTTAAAATATGGTAAATAAAACAACTCAATTCAAATTTTCTGACACGTATTAAGCATTTCAATAGGTCTTGCCAATGGTTGCCAATGAGCATCGTCATCTAGTTCGATGTACAAAATGAGAAGCAGGTGGGCTTTAATTTCGGAACTATAGCCCTAGAAATCAATTCGAAAGCCAATTTTATAGAACTTTGAGTGGTCTTGTCCCAACAAAGTCTGCTCAGCTTTTCCCGATCTTGTTCGCATTTACAGTGCTATTATTACCATTTATCCCATGTCATCGCATCCTACCCTATCATCAAGTCACCCGATAGAGCGAGTAGATAAGACTTACTTGGCAAGATAATCGTCCATGCTGGCAAATTTACCGAGGCTGGGGACACCAGTCGCCTTGCCAATTCCTTGAGGACCAAGACCTGCTGCTGTCCTCTGTTTCTTCATAGCTACACCACCCATTCCCAATCTACGCAAAGCCCGACTAATTGACCGATTCTCCAATCTTATGTTGTAGTGTCGTAAGTAGATCAATTCCTTGCCTTCACCATCCTCGCTTGAAGTATCCACCTCACGACTTAGAAGAAGGACTCGACGAACACTACTGACTTTCAGCTAAGGAAAAGAAAGGAATGGCTAAATAGGTTAAATGATATCTTGTACACAGATAGCCCAATGGTCCAAATTAAGAGCTTTCAAAAGCAAACTTATCAACAAAAGGACAAGAAATAACTTTCATTAACGTAGTAGTAGCAGACTGTCACAAAGAGGTTAATCACAACTTACACTAGCTGACCCCTAAAGGTGACGAAGTACCAAGTAGTTAAACTTACAGACACTAGAATCCTTCTAACATCAGAAAACTTAGAGCGGGATTGTGATTTCCAAATGGTGTTTATGGTATGCACACTAATTGATCGCATTTGTTGATTAAAAGGACTTGATATAAACAAGTCGTGACAAAATTTGTCAACCTAACTAATAGCGTTTAGAGAGCCAAATAACATAATTAAGAATTACGCAACTAGAAGAGTAACTCATGTAAGGCCTGCTACGATGACTTTCATTGCTGTAATAAAGCAAACTTCAAGTTTTGGCGGCGGAATTGAAAACATCCTTATTCAACGGATAAAAATAAACTAAAACGCAAAAAATTGAGGAGAGGATAGATTTATCATAACTGAAAATATTCTATCGAATGTGCTCAAACGTTAGAAATAATAGTAATCGAAGAAGAGTCAATTGAAGTGTACCAAATAAAAAAGAACGACTGATTGTTATAAAGCAGATACAATTAATATAGGAGCTAATGATTAAAAGCTATTCCTCCCTGGTAAACTCGTCACTACGGTTCAGTCAACTTTTCTAATTCCTTCTCCACCTATACACATCAGAAGTAAATTTAGACTAGTGACGGCAGTGGCCTAAGGAACACTTAGCCAGCAATACGAAATGAGTGAAATTAGATCAAATTTGAGAAAATCATTATAGAATAGTCAACTTACTTTTTGAATATTAAGGGAAGGTAACATATTCTGGAACATATCAACGAGCAATCTAAGATGGGGAGGTGGGATTTGGCCAGGTCCTGCTCCGAATCCAGTCATTGCCAGTAGAGGTGGCGTGGAATACTGACGAATATCAAAGACTTTTCGGACCAGAGTGAAGATATCTCTGGTAAGAGAGTACTCGGATACACGGAATGTTATACTAGGACCACTAGGGGTTCTAATTAGATGCATATATACACCTCCTCCCTGCCTTCCACTATTCTCAGTTTGGCCGTCTTCGTCTTGACTTTCTTCCTCGCCACTGTCTTCATTGTCTTTCTCCTCTTTTCCTTCATTCCTATCACTTCCATCTGCACCTAATTTTTGTTTCTTGCGCTCTTCCAAATTGCGGAGATAACGTCGACGCTTAGCGGCCAATTTTTCTGGCTTCGGATGAGTGAAATAGAGTATATGTGATACATGCAAGGGTCCAGCAATGGTAAGAAAATCTTTCATGACATTTCGTTTACTAACGCGAAGTTGGGAAGCTGTGAAGGGTTCAAAGACTTGGCGAATATCAAGAGTTAGAGATTTAACAAGTCGACCACAACCAGGCCGAGAGAAGACAAAGCTATGAGGGGCTCGAGCTAATTTGCGCTCTTGGGCAGCGTGTGAAGCTAAAGTAGACTTGGGCTGCCTATGACGACGCTTTTTACCATGACGACGGCGACCTTTGAAACCTTTATTTTTAGAAGCACCCATTTATATCCTACAAAGGAGGGCAAAAATAAGTAATGGTGATAATAAATCTTGTTTAAAAAAATAAGAAGAGATGAAAGTCTTCAAAAAGGATTTTTTTCTTTTTCAATACTTGGGTACAGATTGTGAGAAAGGATTTGAAGGCCACAATAAGTAAGAGAGAATAACAAGAGAAACAGGAATGGCCCCCAAAAGATGAAGCTCCAGTAGAATTAGTCTAAGAATGGGCTAAATTAATATGATCGTTCATATCTGTCTTTAGGCACACCTAAAAGGGAAAAAGGAAGCATATTATGCAAATCTAAAGGAATAAATTGAAGCACAATTGAAAGAATTTTTCCATACCTGATCGCATTTAGAGCAAATTTGTAGGCGAGAGGTGACATTTTTAGCCCAAATAGGAGGTGAGTTGCCGCGGCAACGAGCAGGAGTATTGGCAAAAGGTATTTTAGGAGCAGCTTCTCCCTTTAAGACACGAAGTAGGGCTCGTTGGAGACCAACGTTAGGCAGAAGAGCAATCATGCGACTGAACCATTCAGATTCATCAGGATCCGATGAAGAGATAACACCACTTAATCCCTATACAAGAGCACATAATTATAGGTCGATAAATTAACTCTACTTATAAGTTATAAGTAGCTGTAAAGTTGACCTGAATGTATGCTTGGGCGGAAAGAGAGCCTTCGGAATATAAGCCACAAAGTTGAATACACCGAGTAAAGGCGTTTTTCGAGTGGCCTTGACCGCCAAGGATTTCCTTCACATTTTTGATTACGGCCATATTTTTCTCCTCAAAGTCAGAAGGTGGTGTATAGATATTCTACAAGATTCAATAAAAAAAGTCCGTCTAGTTCTGTCTAAAACAACGTGACGAGGCAGAGTTTACACAAAATTTATCAAGAACTAGATTTAGAAACAAAAAACACACTCATGGATTATTCAAAATGTACCTCCACATAGTGACCTTCAGACATATAAGTGGTTAAATACCAAATCTCTTTTACTTCTTTACTTAAATTGGACTATTTTGCTAGGCCCAGTTTTCAGAAGCAATGAGAAGGGCAAATACAGGAGTGTTGGCATACCGATTTGAATAGGTGTGTCTCTGTGTCCTCCAAATCGGGGAAATTTGTCATCTTTTTCTCTGAGCTTTCATTCCCAGTCTGAATCTCCTGTTTAGACGACTTAGATTTCGAGTTCCCTTCAGAAGCAGCACTTTGCTTCTTGGCGTTTGTCTTCGTCGACGTTTTTTTATTACCATTTTTAACACTGCCAGAGGAAAGTTGCTTGTCATTATTCGCCTTTTTGCTATTATTTCCTGCCTTCTTTGAGTCTCCAGCTAGAGTGGGAAAATCATCGGCTGAAAAATTTGCAGGACGAGGTTTGGAGACCGATTTTGTCGCAGTATCACCATTGCTACTTTCCAAGTGATCAACCATCTGAATGCGATTTAAGGACTGGGATAAACTTCTGGCATCATCATTGTTCAAAAGATGCGAGACAGCACCCTGAAATTCAACAAATAAATGACAATAAATACAATGACGCATATGTTTTCGTGTAACAGAAAAGCTCATTACAGTGAATAAGGAACACATTTTAATAATTTCATTCCAAGCAGGGAGAGAGATATGCAATGTGCAGTCTGATATAAATCATAATTCCTGATCAATGCAAGAAAGGATTAATTTACTCATTGAGGGAGTTCTGACTTTAATGAACACTTTAGGTACCAAATTAAAGACCGCGAACAAAATGATATATGTATATCTCTATGTCTAATAAGAAAGTGATGGCTAACGAACGGATTATTCGTTTGCGAAGGACAAAATTTTTCACCAAAGCGACAAGTTATCGGCAAATCCTTCTCCCAAGAGGATCTGGGAATAGTAGGTACAACTAAAAACTGAATGTGTGAATCAAGAGATACTAACTCCTCCTTGATAAGCACAGTTGTTATTTTCAACAATTACCCACAGTATTGCAGAATTTTCCCCCAATATTCTAGTGTGGGGTGGGGGGATCTACAAGATACTGACGATAAAGTTGTAACTTAAAATAGTACAATTTCAAGAAACTATTGGAAGAGCCAATGGGTTGATGTGCACTAGAAGTTTCATACCAAATCCACGTCATCGCCATATCATAACCGTGGGAGATCAGGGCATAAAGAAATAGACCATTTCACATATCGACTGGTTCATTGTCCGACCAACCATATTCGCCCATGTCGAATTGTGAAGATCAATGATTGGTTCAATTTTCATTGCTCAACCACTGTCAGGATAGTAAATCAGTTCTAATGTCTTGCTATTTGACTAATCTTGCGTGTGTGTGAGTGCGAGGTTGTTTAATAAAAATTATTAGCCAATTTAACTTGCCTTCCAAAGGTAGAAAGATCAAAATAATCCTACACGATAACAAACAACTTACATAACCTTGACAGAGAAGAGTGGGGATGGCTTAACTTTTTACCTTAACAGAGGAAAATAAACAGTGCCTACTCAAAACAATCCAATTACCATTATTGAAATACAAACATATAACAAATTGGCATAACCAAAGAAAATTTTGAAGATATACAATTGCCGCGCATTTACATCATTATCAGCAGCGTCCCACCACGAGGACTTTTTAGCTTTAGCCAGCGCCGACGAGAAATGCTGCAAATCCGGAGCGGGAGAATAATCAGTAGGTCTCAGCTTGTCCTTCTTTCCTCCCTTCGCCTTCGAGGAAGAAGGATGTTGAGCGAGTGGAACGAAAGGCTCCAACCGAGGTTCCTGAAGAATTGAGGAGTTGGACGTGGATACAAGAGCAGGAAAATCAGCAGCGGTTGGTTTGCGTTGTACTATCGGCTTAGGAGCTGTTGAGGAAGAAGACGCCTTTGGAGCAGACACACCCCATTTCGAGGAAGCATTCGGTTTAGCGGAAATGTTGGTTGAAAGGGATGGGAAGTCAGAGGCAGTTGGCACTTCTTGGGGGAAGTTTCGTCGGGACGCATTGCTAGACGAGGCTCCAGTTGCAGGCTTCTTCGAAGACCCTACCCACGTTGGCTTTGCAGCTAAATTAAGAATAGAATTTAGGTAAAAAGTAAAAAATTCTCGAATAGAATAGCAATTTAAATTTTGCTGAAACGCAATAACTTAACTGATTGTTCTAAAGAGCAAATTTAAAAAAACACACAACTCCTCATTTTCAGGGTGGGTTCAACTTTACAACGTTCAGCAGCCAAATAGTGGATTCATTCATGAAACCTTCTTAAATTTTGCCACCTCTTATAACTGAGAGCAGCTAGCTAAAATGGCTTCATTCATCTCTGCCATTAAAAATCTGAGTCAATAAAATTCTACCAGTCATCCGAAAAAAATAGCGCGCAAGATTTACCCCACTTTGGTTAAACATGGAAGGCTAAGTCCCTCAGAACTATCATACCCTCAAAATCAATAATACTACTAAATAACCTCTAGAGGCCTTCGCAGCTAGCAAGTGATTAACCCTCATTTAGATCAGCGTTAATTGTATTTGCTTACTCATCAGTTTTTTACAATGTTACAACAAATTTACACTTAGACTTGACTAAAAACGACTTCACTCAATATCTCATGGTTTCCCTCCCGGCCATATGAACTGGGGTTAAGCGAATCTCTTACGGCTTGGTGTTAAATTCAGTTCATCAGTAAATTCATACGTTAAAACGTGTGGTGCAATTCATGTAAATATGCTAAAAAAATACTCAAATGATCCACTTATTGGGAAATTAGCATAGGTCACGTTAACTAATGGAAGCTTGCCTATAGAAGTTTAAACGAATACAGAAAAACACTGAACGGCTCCAAACTAACGATACAAATATGGAAGTGGAAATAAGCTCCCTTTATTAATACAAATGTTCTAGTTTAATATATTAACTATAAGCTATATAATTAAGGGTTAGATGATGCAGCGCCATAAATCGAATTCAATGGGATTTGTAAATTGCGTTAAGAAAGTGCAAAGGAGTGGAAATCAACGAGATAAAAAACTAAATGAAGCGCATACAAAAATTCGTTCATTTACAGTTTTAAACAATGACAGAAATCTCTAAATTTATTTCCTTTACACAGAGGTTACCTTTTAAAGCTACTTATCGCATCTCATTATTGTAAAGGCCCAAATAACTCGATGGGACCGGTCAAAAACTCTGAATATTGTGGACATATTCTGGTCCATGAATTTGAGAAAATGAAACCTTTATAATATCTTATTGTATTAGTTTATAAGTCTCTGATTCGGATATTTTTCTATGGATTACAGTTTAAGTAATAACAATAACATGAACAATTGAAGGACTTACGACCTTGAGCTTTGGTATTACTGGACGAACTAGGAGCGGATGTAGGCAGCGATGGAAATTCATCGTAATTATCCGACTGAAAAGCTCCTCCACCAACGCCCCTTACAACTGCGGCGTGCGAAAGAACAGTTCGCGAAGCAGTACCACCTGAGCGCGCCTGCTGAGCGTCGTTAGCTGTGGATGTAGTCTGAGTATTTGTAGTTCCAGTGAAGCCGGTAGACGTTGTGTCACCTGTGAGGGAAGGAAAGTCTGCCCCCGTCCATTCCTCGGGATTTGGACCACGTGGAGCTGCGGGGTAGTAGACTTCAGGGACTTCTATGTTAGTAAAATACAGAAAGACGGCAGCACAATGAAGCTAAGCTAGGCACTCAGGCTTACGGCACAAATGAAACTTACGCAGAGACCTAAGAATAAAATCATGTAAATTAATGAAAATCTGTCCATGCATATACACACATATGTTTAAGGTTATAAGGTAATGCAGCGATTAATTTTACCTATTATGAAGTGATAAAATATAAGTTTCTTGCTAGAAATGGTTTCAAAGACATAGCTCAAATCTTATAAGGTAAGGCCTTTTCTCATTAAGTGATCAATAGGCGATACTTTTAGTACAAGTGTTCTCCAACATTCAGTAGCATACGTACCAGTTTGCAAATTTATAAAAAAATTCTATTTACAAATAAAGAGCGAAGTCATTAACAATCAATACTCAATAACATCGGCTTCGGAAAAGACGACCAAAGAGATGCCAATGCCGCGTAGTTTTCATAGAAAATGGCAAATTTTCAAAATGCGATTTGGAATGATTACGTGAGCAACTACAAGAATTAACCCATAAATCTTAGACCGAAGCTGCACATAGTAACCACAAATGCAGCATAAGACTGGTTACATCAATAAAACTATTGTCATTAGGGGAGCAGTGATGTAAATGTACATCGAAAAAAGGACAGCGAATTCAATGGAAGAAACCAACGATAAAAATTGGTAAAATAGATAAAAATAGGCAGAAAAGGTCTATAAAAAAGCATGATAGGCATAAAATCCACATCTCAAAAACTCTAATGGTTATAAGAGGATCTAGGTTCCAACTAAACATCTTAATATCAATGTCCAAAGCATAGCGAGAAATCAATACCTAAAAGCTAAGTATAAACAATACATTAGGAATGAGATAAAATCACCATCAATTAATTCATTTTGTTGATGCTGGTTACGTCTGCCCCCGGAACGAGTGTATTGGCTAATAAGACCTTGAGTTGAATAACGAATTTGAACTGGTTGCCACAAACTCGGATCATTTCGAGCTTCATTCAAATGATTGAACGACCTGTGGGCAGCAAGTCGCTCCTCCGTTGGGAAACAAGACATAGTTCCATTCTGTTCACACTCCAGACATACAAAATGAGCTGATTTGTAATGTTGGAAGAGTTCGTTCTGTCGCCTAAGATTGAAAAAGGATGACAAAAGATTAGTAGCTTACTGAAACACCTCAAAAACTCGACTTGAGTAACAGATATCGCAAAGAAAGTGCTTTTCACGAATATGCGTGATTAGATTTTCAAATTCGTAGAAAGTCTGCTGACAGAATTTGCACACAGGGTGACCACGTCGGGAGGTAGCATCCCATTTTTTATGAGCTGCAAGCTCATCTGCTGTCATGGGCTTAAATTCACAGGGAAGTATCTATTGGGAAGGTGAAATGGGCGCGCAAATTGAGAACGTACGTGAGCATGACGAATGCAAAGATCGCAATAAAAAATATTGTGCTCTTGAGAGGTGTGAGAATTAAGAGCTCCCATGGAAATTTTCGTTTCGGAGCAAACTGGACAAACACATGCCATCAATTTCCTAAAAGCCTCATCAATAGATTCATCTTCAAAGTCAAGATTAAGCGTAGGTTCTTTAATAAGACTAGTTGGATCAAAGTCATCCCAATTTTTTGGCGACTTTGAAACTCGATTCTAAATTTAAAATAATGGTAGCAGAATATCAAACTTACGGAAGCGTTTTTGGCTCTGCAAGTTGGACAACATCCTATTGTGCCGTCTGAACTACCAAATCTACGTAATTTTACGGCACAACGAAGGCATATAGGATGGTTGCACGCGCCAACAGAGTAGTATTCAATTTCATATTGACAAATCGGGCAAGTATTGGAATCCATTGATTGATAGGGCCACGCAGATGAGAACAGCACTGCCAAATGATACAAAAAGGGCAGTTAATTTACAATCAATATAAACAAATATCGTGTTAATTTAGTTATTTGCGTTTATTAATAGATTGTATAATTTTTATTGATAGAAGCTTAATTTATAGAAAATATTTGATAATGAGAAATTCTACGATTTTTTGGACCACTAGTACGAATTTAATACTATTTGCTAAGGTCAAACACAATCATCCACCTTTATTGAAAACTACGATTAAATTATGATTGTATTGAAATTTTTTACATTATCAAGTATTTGTGCTGCGGTTAAATGATTGTGACTTTGGTTAAGTTGGAAATTGTAATAGTTATTATGTATTTTTAAAAATTGAAAAACATTTCAAAATTTTAAGTAAATAGGTATTAATATTGTGACAATCAGCAGTAACTCAATCGTTCTTTATCCGGGTTTTGTACCTCGAGACTTCATAATATATGCCTCCCTGGGCTTCAATAAGTATGTGAAATGGAATTCTCTATTGAGATATTAATTAAGACATATATATGTGTAAATGAGTTAGTCATCAGGGTATTTGATCAACAAAATATCAACATTTAAAAAAATACTCAACCCCCTATATGGTAAATGAATTTGAAATCGGTTTGTCAGATTGTTTACTTCCATAAGAGCATCGAAACTTGTCTGAAAGTCATATCTCTTTATACTTTATTCGTTCCATTGCACGATCTCTTTTTAACTTCAATGACTGAGACCTAATTAGTTTTGAGACGGTATTAGGCTAAATTATGAAAAATTGTAAGACATTAAATGTATTAGTGTCATTATGAAATCAGGATCTAAAGTCAACCCATATAACCATGACACTGGCAAATGCTCTTCGAAGTTGTTTGCAAGGAAATTCGGGTATAAGCAGGAAACAGACTACTCACGACACGAAAACAGGCAGTTATTGGGACTTTCGGAGATAGGAATATGAGGGTACTTTCAATAAAAAGAAATAAGTATAGTAAATACAAGACATTGTCACAGAAGAATTAAAATGATTTTGTTTAAGGTGTTTAAGGACGCCTACTGGTACGAGTTTGCATAGTGAAGGAAATTCATAGAAGAAAGGTATAGACGCTAACATCATTCTTATAATTTCAACACCATCCAACCCAAATATCAAGGAGTAGGCAAAATAATTGGGAGGCAACCTGAAATGACACTTATGTACGAAAACCTTAATGGACCAACTATGGAAACTGGCTGTTATTAAAGGGTAAATTTTTAAGGTCGTAGAGTTCAAAGAATCCATCATGACATAAACTTAAATAACCCAGATCAATAAAGTTTCGCCCAAATAAGACGATAAAGAGAATAGGCGATGCGATTAGTTCGTTCAAATTTTAAATGAGCACACAAAATTTCGACAGTGAATTGGAGAGAGCCCACTGTGGCGTTTTCAAGTGACGATTTGTAAAATCCATATCTAAAAATCAATTCAGCCTCGAACTTTCGTAACGGAATCATTGCGTTTAGCTGTCACTCTCTGTAAGAGTGAACTAATGGAGGCGAATTCGGTTAATTCAATTGCCTATCATTCTGTGTCATAATAGCTCAACCGGCTTGACGAAATATGGAGGGAAATGTGTAGAAGCGAGCCAAAAGAAGAGTGTTTCAAAGATGTAGGAGACAAACACAAAGATAGAAAAAAGGTGAGGTGAGTACTGTGGAAATAGTCGAATATGGCATAGAGTGAGGTGATGGTAGTTTGAAGTGAGAAGTCAACTGCCAGTTAATAGACTTTTTTGCCGTATGAATATACGTTGCCTAGGGTGCGCCACGTGGAGGTAAGTATATCGCACACCCCACCCTACACGAATATAAACTTCAGAGAATATCTCTCAAGGAAGGAATTGTAAAATAAGAGATATCAATATCATTTAGAACTGTTGAACGTCTCGTGGAAAAGGATGTCCAAAAGAGGAATTTGGTCATATACTCAGTGTTCTTATTTTTTGCGCTTCTTAGATTTGTGCTTACATCCGAGAATTCAGAATTGCATGCAGTTCAACGAAGTAAAGAACCAATATGTCCATTTATATAAATTTCACAATTAAATCGTATAAAACAAAGATCGAAATGAATGGCAAAATGGAAAGTTATTATTACATCAGAAGAACGCAATTCTAAGAACCACCTTAAAATTGTATGCAATCCGACTGCTTTCTGTCATGCCAAATTGACATTTCGGCATGCTGTTGCAACACATCTCACTTGCCCAATAGACAAGAGTAAGACAAAATGTCTTACTTGTATCTCTGAGTTCAATGTGTCATGACTTTCAGTAATTACTGAGATAAATAACTCCTTCTGCAAAAAAATATTTAGAATACTATTAGGAATTCTGCAAAAGTGATTGAATATTTATTTTCATTGTAGAAAAGACCAATTGGAAGGTGTATTAGAATCAGATGAATTTCTTACTTAAATTCAAAATTCTATCTAGAATATGATGTGTAAGAATCGCGTCTTGCAAATCTTAATTTGATCCGAAAACTTTAGTTGGTAAGGTAGAGGGAATGGCTACTAGGTCGATTCGTAAGTTAATTCTTTAGAAAAAGCTTGATTATTGTAACACACGATAGATATAGAAGGATATTAGAGTACGATCACCTCTGCACGCAATGCAAATTTCAGGATGGGTAAAGTTCCAAATTGTAAGAAACTAAAGGTCAAGTTCAATTTTAGAAA